CCCCCCCCCGCCGGGATGAGCGCGTTATTAATGAGAGCCCCGCCTGAAGTGACAGAAAGTTGACGGCGGAGAGGCGGCGGGCAGATTGGGGGCCCAGTTGTTCCTCTTGAGCTGATCTGCAAGTTTGGCACTGGAGGTTTTTCTTTAGCAGCTTTGACTTTCCTTTTTTTCCTTTTTTTTCTCCTGCAGATCGGTCGAGTTCATGCCGTATTTGTTCCAGTATTATTCAGTGAGTATCTGGGCTTTTTAGCTTTGTGACAGAAAATATACAAATATAAATAAAAAAGTACAATGAATATAAATACAAATAAATACACATGAAATATAAATATATATATAATAAATATAAATACACATAAATACAAATAAATACAAATAAATACACATTATATATATATATATATATATATATATAATAAATATAAATACACATAAATACAAATAAATACACATAAAATATAAATATATATACAAATATATGTATAATATTATTATATAAATAAATATATATATAAAAATATATAAAAATAATAATTTAATTCAATATTTAATTTAAAATAAAAATGATGGATAGATAAAATAGTTTAAAAAAGGATATTTAAAGAGGGATTTACTACACTGTGACCTGACTTAATTTAAATGATTCTTTCTGATGATATATAGTTTAAAAAAAAAAAAATGTTTGCACTTTTAGTGCAAAAAGAAAAACAAAACAAAAATCTTTTCATGATAATGTTGAGTATCATGTGAGACGAGCCAAGGAAAGGCTGATGTTTTTCCATTCATTTCTAAACTTAATGTGTTTTGGCCTCATATATAATTCCTTATCCTTTCTTGTATCATTATCATGTATATTTTTTTAGCTATCTTATTTGTGTCTTGTTTTATTAACTCATTTTTCATCTTCTTCTGTTTGCCTTAATATAAACTTCTTTAAGGTTATGAGAACCTCTATAGAAATAAACTTATTTCAATCTGATCTTCAGAAAAGTCAAACTAATTCAAACTCATCCTTAATGAAAGAAAAAAAAGAAAGTGAGGCCAAACTACACAGATTAGTACTCAATTAGAAGGTGCTGGTTTTTGTTTTGATTTGAAATAAAAAGTTAGATCGTTTCTGTTAGGACTTACAGTGGGGAGAACAATTATTTGATACAGTTGATTTTTCAGGTTTTCCCACTTGCAAAGCTTGAAGAAGACTGTAATTTTTATCATAGGTACTCTTCAACTGTGAGTGATGGACTCTAAAACAAAAATCCAGAAAAATACAATGTATGATTTTTAAATAATTAATTTCCATTTTATTGTGTGAAATAAGTATTTGATACACCAGAAAAATGAAACTTAATATTTGGTACAGAAACCTTTGTTTGCAATTACAGAGATCAGACGTTTCCTGTAGTTCTTGACCAGGTTTGCACACACAGCAGCAGGGATTTTGGCCCATTATTTAATAATCATACATTGTATTTTTCTGGATTTTTGTTTTAGAGTCCATCACTCACAGTTGAATAGTACCTATGATAAAAATTACAGTCTTCTTCAAGCTTTGCAAGTGGGAAAACCTGAAAAATCAACAGTGTATCAAATACTTGTTCTCCCCACTGTATGTCTGTTTTGGTCCGTTTGTTGTTACATTTCCTGTTTATTTCTCTCAGGGTCGGAGGTTCTGCATCGTCACTATTCCCACCATGCAGCCGGAGTTCCCCCTGCTGCACAGCTTTGCTCACATCCGCTCAGGCCCCACCAGCCCACTGCTCCACGAGGTGTACATCTATGACATGGCTGGACTCAGGTGGGTCCTCCTGATAAAGACAAAAAGACACAGTGACCACTGACCTCAAGCATCAAGTTTAGACTGCGAGATAATATCCTGTATAACATTTCCATCTAAAAATGTATAGAAATTAAACATACACGATCGCTGTTGTGGCCATTTAACTCATTGGCTGCCAAAGACGTCTATAGAGGTCTTTTATGTTTTTCAGCGAGAGTGTCTGGGGGACGATCTGCTAAAGCTTGTCCGTAAATATCAGGCTTCTAGACAGAGTATGTAGTAACAAATTGACCCTCTAGGGGGCAGTGCCACTTTTGATGGGAGATGAGCATAGACTGTAGGCAAATAAGAAAAAGCTAACGGTTCTATGAGAGAACATGTCGCCGGTGAGACGCAAGTCCAGGAAGAACGGAATAAGGTAGAAACACATTTCTTTTCCTGATGAAAGAAGAGAGTCTACTCTTTCTTTAGGTGTGTTCGGTGTTTACATAGTCATAGCACAAACTATTCTGTGGCTCTTGAAAAATCAGTCAAAATGCTCAAAAAACTCTGGCTGTATGGGACTCTGTTCTGAAAATGGCTGCCAGTCAATGAGTTAAGTTAACTTTTCGTCATTCACACGTTCTGTTTAATTTTAAATAGTTTAAATGTTTCATTTGCACAGAACCATTTTGAATTCAATTATTGGGATTTATTTGGTAATTTTCCAAGCTCCTCCCATTAATTTGGAAGAGTTAAAACAGCCAGGGTTTTGTGGTTTGGGGGGGGGAAATGTCAGGTATGATGACGGGAGGTTTGCCACTAAGATTTTCTGACCACGCCACACGCTACACGATATACTTTTGATTTACCTTTTGGATCACCTTTGTTACTTTTTGTTGGCGGCAAAGTT